ACAGAGGTCAGAGTGCATCCACCTTCATATGATGGAACTGTGGTGAGAGCTGTGGCTCAGCTGGAGGAGACACTCAGTAACCAAATAAAGATGCTGTTTAAAGCTGAGCTGAAGAGAATCCAACGATATGCCATAAATGTGACTCTTGATCCTGATACAGCACATCCTACACTCATCCTGTCTGATGATGGGAAACAAGTCAGTCATGGATATGTGAAGAAGAATGTCCCAGACAATCCAGAGAGATTTTCAAATTCCATTTGTGTCTTAGGAAAGCAGAGTTTCTCTTCAGGCAGATTTTACTTTGAGGTTCAGGTTAAAGGAAAGACTAAATGGACTTTAGGAGTGGCCAGAGAGTCGATCAACAGGAAAGAGAACATCCAGCTGAGCCCTGAGGATGGTTACTGGACTATTTGGTTGAGAAATGGAAATGATTACAAAGCTCTGACTAACCCTCCAGTCCGTCTCTCTCTGAAGTCTCGGCTTCGGAAGGTGGGGGTGTTTGTGGATTATGAGGAGGGTCTGGTCTGTTTTTATGACGTAGATGCTGCAGCTCTTATCTACTCCTTTACTGGCTGCTGCTTCACTGAGAAACTTTACCTGTACTTTGGTCCTTGTCCTAACGATGGTGGTAAAAACTCTGCACCTCTGATCGTCACTCCTATCAATCACACTTAGTAGACCAGCTATTTGATTTTCCATGAAAGCAATCAGTGTAAAGTAGTAGATGATTATTGGTAATGCTCAGTGATTTGGTTACTGATTTTTGTTATTGCATCTTGTTTGTCTTCAATGTATCCCACTATCACTCACTGCCACAACATGCTCATGTGTGACAATCAATGAATAAGAGAACAATTTTTTAAGGTAAATGTTGATAAAACCAAGGTACTTTTGGTTGGTCCTAAGTCTAAAAGAGATACCGTTCTTGGTAATGTTGGGAACATGGCGCACCACACCAAAACAAAAGTAACTAGTCTAGGTGTTATCTTAGATGCAGACCTTACCTCATATTAAAGAAGTCAGCCAAACAGCTTTCTTCCACCTGAGAAACAATTGCGGCCTTTTTTAACACAAGATGCTGAAATATTAGTCCATACTTTAATCAATAGTAGGTTATAACAGGAACTGATACACAACTCTGAAGCTAGACTCCTTACTAAGACCAAGAAGAGAAAGCACATCAACCCTGCTTTACCCAAATTGCATTTGGTCGTTGTTACTTACAGAATCGATTTTAAAGGTTCTGTTAATTACTTTTAAAGGCCGAAATGGCTTAGCACCTTTATATATCTCTGAACTTTATAATACCTTATCAATCACAAAGGAACCTTAGATTCTCTTATGACGAACTTTTAATTTTGCCCAAAGTACTGCACAAGCAAAGCGGGGAGGCTTCCTTTTGCATTATGTACCAAAATTATGGAACACCTTGCACAAATATATTAAACAGGCTAGCTTTGTCAACATCTTTTAAAAAGAGCTGAATAGCAATATGAGCAGGCATTTCGTTAACTCTCCCCTGTGAGCTCTTGCTTCTCTCCAATCTTAACCATTAATACTGTATTCTTTATGTACATATACCTCTGAGAAGTTTTGTAAAAAGTCATTCGTACTATGGTTTTATGGTACTATGGTAATTTATAATTTTCTTTTACTTTGACTCGTTATATTTTACCAAAATTAGCTTTATTATCATGGTCCTAAAAGACTGCACTTACACAAGCTATATTTGCACTGCATTGCTTTACTATTTAATATATCAAATTTTATATTTTTTTTCTGTGTGGCTATATTGGTTTTAACTGTGCTAGGCTAATATATTTTTTTGTCTTGTTTGCAGGTAACTGTCATTTCTACATTTTTCATCTGCTTCGTTTCTCATCTGTTTTGTTTGAAATGCTCTAGATGTAAAGCACTTTGAGCTGCATTGTGTGTAATAAAAGGGCTATACAAATAAATAAAAATGTATTATTATTATATTATTATTATTATTATTATTATTATTATATATTATTATTATTATTATTATTATCATCATTATCATTATCATTATTATTATATGTTGTTTAAGGACACTTGACATCTGACCTATTTTGTTGTTTAGGTACGAGGATGTGTCGTCCTTAACATTTGTGTGGACTCCACATATGAATTGGGCTTCACAGTGAATTGTCTGACCAGTGTAAAAATGTAAATAGATTAAAAAATGCTGATTTTAAACACAGATTCATGAGTACAATATTTTGCAATCTGTGTGTTTATGTTAATCTTACATTAATTGTGTTTTTTATATCTTTATACAGAATACTGAACTCACATTCATCGGGTGGACAGAAAAACAACTCGGGGTGACTGTGTTGCTCTGCTTCTGCTGGATGTGTAAATGGACAACTGTTTGCACACATCAGAAGTTGTAAAAAATAAATGCTTTTAAGACAATACAGACAAACAGTTCAGGCACAAAAGTCAACTGTGTTTATTCCAAACTAACGAAATTACAAGAACTCAAGATTAGAAACAGTTATCTCTTGACAGCCCTCATATATATTTAGGATATTTATGACAGGCATTACACACACTACTGTAAATATGTTTGTATTTAGTGTCCCTGCTTATACCTATGTTTATATTACATATTGTGCATAGCCTATAGCTACGTGTTTCTACGTCACCATGATAACTAAAATACCTAAAATAAGTAAGTATTACTTATTATCAGTATTTTTCAGTATTCAGTATAACTAAGATACTTTATTTACTTATTTTGCTCTAATCTTTTTTCATTTAAATACCTCTTTATTGGACGTTTTACCTCTTAACCCCTCACTTGTGCTGCTAGAACATGTGAATTTCTCTTCTCTGGAATTAATACAGTATCTTATCTTATTCTATTCATCCTTATTAATAACTACTTAATAATATATCAGTAACATTGCTGGTCACATTTACTCAGAATGGGTATCTGTATTTTTATTACCAAACTGGTGGCTGTTAGACGTTCTTCCCCTTTTATAAATTATTATTATATAATCAGAATGGGCTCAATTGAAAGACATGATAATGTTACAATATGAGCAGCACGGAACAGATGAATACCCAATAAAATGTGGGGGGAAAAACCCAATACAATTAGTCAGTGTATTATTTTATTGTAATATCTTTTTATATTGTATTGAAATATATTTTTAATTGTATTTAAATGTCTTTTATATTATTAATATACATATACTTAATGTGCGGCTCCAGAGACTCAATGATGTGCTGCACACTTGTTCAGCAAACATATGTGTTAGGTTTGGCCCCCTTTTCGTTAACATGCTGTGAGCAGGGTTTTGTCCATTAATCTCTGGATCCAGAGCAAGAGCAAGACCTCCACCACTGGACTGCTCAGATACACTGAAGGGAAGGCTTTCAAGTTTCTTTGTCAATCATGTCTTATTCTGACAATAAAAATGGCTCCTAAGCACCAATAGAAGGCATGTTTAGCTTATAAACATGTTTTTTGTGATGGCTACTCTGCTGTTGAAGAATAAAATAAATGAGCAGCCAAAGAATTGTGCTGTGAAAGACTTAATATCATGTTAACAATGATTGCATTTAAAAACACTAACAACATAGAATTTTGAAAGTAACCACTGAAAGTCAGTAAGGACTCCACATTTTGTTAGCATCAACAACAAACAGCTCTGTAAATTTGCAAGCTTTAATATTAATGTATCGTAACTCAAATCAATGTCAGGCATATTAAGTAGTACTCTGAGGACTGTTCTTTATATATTTATCAATGCAGCTGTTCTTATCAAATGAAACAGGCACTTCACTCCTGGTTTCAATAGTAAATGACAATTACCAACAAAGAAACACTATATTCTAAGCAGACACGTTTAACAAAACATAAATCACAAAGTAACTTTAGTGTTTCAAACAAATAGGAGACATAGGAGCAAATTTTAACAAAACTTTCTTCACTGCCATGCATCATGGGAATTCTGAGGCACGGGGTGATATAGAGCAGCCGAAGTCCATCCCTCTATATTTAGTTTGTTACCATTAAGTTCAAACACCATAGGCTACAGGTGTTTAAAGTTGAAACCAGTTAACACTGGTGCCAGCTGCAGGATCCGAATCCACAATTGGGATGGAGGTGCGGCTCAGGAGACTGATCAGTAACTAACTGCATCACCAGCCAGCCTGGTTGTAATGATACAATTTGATGTGTTGTTGATACAAAAAGTGTATAGGCATAATAAAAAAGCTTTACAGCTATCATTTGGACTTTTTAGTTAGTGCTTGAGTAGCTGAGCATAAAAATATACCTCTTGTTTCCAAACTGCAAACAGGGAGGAAGATACAGCAAGTTAAAGAATATAATAATACAATGAAAGGGGGAGACCTCAGCCTGCAGCTACAACAGGGACTGAATGGGAGAGACTTTCCAATCAGTTAAGGATCAGAGAAAAAAAACTAAACGTCCACTGAGCAGGAATTTGACATTTTGAGGGAGAAAAGGCATGTGGCTACATTTTGGTGCCTTTTTTGTGCTTATAGAGATAAATATACGCGACTAGCAGCAGTTTACAAAATAATTTCTGGTCTGCAAAATCCTCCTGTCTCCACTCTAACTGATCACATGACACGCTGGTAAAGTCTGCTAAAAGCTGTAAAACCCTTCACTTTGGAAGGGCACTAAACATTTTTTTTTAGCAAACACCAAATACAACTTTGAAAGATCAACATCTTTTCTGCAACTTTCAGCTGAAATTGAGTCTCTAACTGCACATATGCCGGAGCACTAAGCTCTTAAATTTGGAAGAGTGGAGTCCCTGCTCCCATAGGAACTCATTCATTTTAAAATGCATAAAAATATTAATATAAAATCAACCATTACAGATACCAGCAACACAGTTAATAGCACCCATCTCATGAAGTAGATGTACAATTTGAAGTTGGAACCAAGTTTGTTGGACAAACGGTACAGGACTAGTTAGATGCCAAAAAACAGCGGAATAAATAATAAAATATAATAATAATAATAATAATATAATAATAATAATAATAATAATAATAATAAAGAGCGAAGAGAACAAAAGTGTTGTGATATTAGTGTGTTATTAGTGTCAGAGCTCACACTAATAAACTTGTCTTGCCTTGTTTATGTGTACGGCAAACGCCCATTTCCACAAGACTACATTACCCATGATTCCTATCCTCTGGTATTTCCTATTAGGTATTGCTGACAGCCATATTTGATTCGATTATGCTGTTCTGGCTGCGACAACCAGTTTAGCCTGACAAGAAAAAAAAGGTCTTTTTCCTCTCTACGAGCTCAGCTTTACGGTTAACTAGCGACGAAATCCAGCTGCATTCACAGTAACAACAGTTTATAACCTGTAGTCAACGATGAATCCTGAATAGTAAGTTGGACTTTTGATGTTCGGTTGGTTATGACAGGTCCGGTTGAGCTGTCAGCGTAGCCGGGGAAGCTAAGCTAACAGTAGCTAACTAGCTAGCCAGGCGGACCGGTGTACAAAATGAACGTCAGCTGCTTTGTCTTCTCTGCTAACTTCGCTATCTGAGGGCTGTTGTGGGTTATGTACGTGCTCTCTAACGACAGCGTTGATGTTTATCTCAAAACATACATTTTTCAACATCTCCTAGTCAATATAACACCGATTAAATTGATTATTTGTTGTTTCGTCAACAACGTCTGTTTTAAGTAGCATTAGGAAGCTAACGTTAGTAGCAGGCTAGCCGAACAGCTACGTAGCGTTAACCTGACGCTGTTGAGGATTTTGTTTTGAGATTAGTTGCTCAGTTAGATGCATAAGGACAGTTTAATAGTTCAGGGCACAAATCCGTGTCAGTAAGCACGAAGCTAATCTTTTAATTAATCTGGGTAGATATTATTTTGCTGGTAATTTTAGTGTAATTTATCCACCGCAAACAGGAAGTTACAAAATTTGCTCCTGGAAAGGAGTTAGGTAATGTCAGAGTCTCTGTGTTACTACACTACAGGGCTGTGCAGTAATACACAAATAATGATAGTTATTGCGATATAATTATCCTCAGTAACAAATAATAAATGTTTGCTCATGATCATTTAAATCACGAACGAATTGGCACGTAATTAGTCTTATTGGGACATGTATTCTGTTGAGGAAAGGGGTCTGAAAAAGGATTTTACTTACTCGTGCATTTTTTTGTTGAAAACCGATTTTAGCACAACTGTTTTGAATGTTCTGCCTCAGAATTGTGAAGTGATCCACTGTTTGGCATCAAGTGTTTGTTCTCACCATAAAGAAAAGTTTAAAACCATAATTAACCCTCTGGATTCTTCATCTTTAAACCTGAAAGAAATAATAAGTTGATATTTATCCTGATAATTATTGTAGAGCTGGGCAATAATGACACAAAAATAATGATAATTATTAAAAATTATTTATATATTTGAGAAACTGAACCAGGGAAAATTTGGTGTTGGTGCTTGATAAATAAGCTAAGTGATTAATCTTCTTTATCAAAATGTTTGAACATAACATTATTTAGCTTGTCTTATATTGTTAAATATACAGTTATTAGTGGCAACTATTAAGTGTTTTATTGACAGTTGTGTATTGTTTGCTTTATTAAGGTACCTTTTAAACTCTGTACCAAAAAAAGACATAGCAATGTTTTATTTAAATAATTACACAGCATAAGCACATTTTTGTTTTCCTTTTACAAAATAATATAGTCCAATAATTAACAGCTGTACAAATGTATTATTTAAATGAGACTGTATCTGATCAAAGAAACCGCTTTAAGAATCTGAAAACTCTCAGTGTCAACATTAATTCACTAATATAGCGCTTGTCAAAAACACTGAGTCTAATGTGATTTAGCGCCTTGCAGGTGATAATTGTGTGTTCATGTTTTCCCTCCCCTCTCTCTCCTCAGTGACTATTTATTCAAACTCCTCCTTATCGGTGACTCTGGTGTTGGAAAGTCTTGTCTCCTTCTCCGGTTTGCAGTAAGTGTCTCTTTTTCCAGCCACAGTTACACAGCAGGCTTTTATGTTTCTTCCCTGACATCACAGTGATGGTTAATAAACCTACAGGTATCGTATCTACCACCCTGACCCACCTGTGTGTTTGTTTTAACCCAGGATGACACGTACACAGAGAGCTACATTAGTACCATCGGCGTGGACTTCAAGATCAGGACCATCGAGCTGGACGGAAAGACCATAAAACTTCAGATTGTAAGGAGAACGGGGTGTAACATGGCTGAAAATAGATAAGTACTGAGACACCTTGGATTGTGATTGTGTCAGTTTGGACTTGACGAGCTCTGCTTTCTCTTCTCAGTGGGACACGGCCGGCCAGGAACGGTTCCGGACCATCACATCCAGTTACTACAGAGGAGCTCACGGCATTATAGTAGTTTATGATGTGACAGATCAGGTCAGTGCCTCTTGAGGACAAATAACACTTGTTCTAAAGGCTTCTCTCACGACAGATATCCCTCAGATGTCCAAAGTGCAACATCCAGTCACACAGTCATGGTTAATATTTTAATTTGTTTAGTAAAACAAGGTAGCACTTTTATTTATGGAAAATTAAGTGTTACAGCAGCACAAGAAAGGGTATTAGGCAGAGGCTATTAAAGTGGGAGGCGGACCTCCCCAGGGATGCTCCAAACAGTGTCGGGGTGGGCTAAACCGTGATATTTGCTTCTGTCGAGTCTACGCACGTAGCCATGCATTATACTTGTGCGTTGGTGTCTCGTTCTGCAATTACACCGCCAAAACGCTAGTTGGCGGTAGCATTATAACGTCTTGCGGCCAAGCCAGCTAATTTCCAGTTTAGGCTGCGGTTCCTATAGTCTTTTCAAATGTTATCGACTGAATGCGTCAAATTACAGGAA